CCCTAAGATCCGCGCTTCTAACAGTTGCATCTTTCTGAATAGAGACAGATGTTCCATTCAGAAGTACTCTCCGTTGAGTATTAGTAAGATAAATGTGGTCATTAGAAGAAAGAAGGGGTCCAGCAGTCCAGAGTGCCAATGAATATGATGGGAGGAGTCAACAGGTAAGGACTTCTGACCAGGAACATTCAATAATGTTCAACAAGAAAAAGTCTTGTTGCAGCCAAACAAACAAAAATAAAAACAAAAACACAAACTCCCCTGAATAGTACTCCACGTGATAAATTAACTCCAGAATTTAGCACCATGATAAAGTCTTTCTCTTAAAGAATCGGTATGTGTACTTCTCTTATAACAAAAATATAACCAATGTATCTTTTTTCTTTTTGGTTCTTTGGCTATGATTGCCAAGAATCTCAGAATTGAACTTACTGTCCAGTTACTTAAATTAATTAATTAGTCTCTTTTATCCTTAAATAAATAAATTCTTGTGATTATGGTACCTACTTTTTTCGGTATCTGCTTTTCCCTGTTATTTAATATCTTGGTGTTCTAATTTTATTATAATAAAATTTATATCTTTTATTGTAAGCGCTCTTAAATCTTTTCTAGAAAACAGGTAGGGAAATTTTTTCTTAACCTGTGTGAAAAATAATAACATCAAAAGATTTCCCTTGAACTCCATTTAAAAAATCCTCAAATTTGGAAGACATTTTTAAATCAGCAAACAAGCAGGAGACTGAATGATAATTATGATGACATATAAATCTAAAATTCTTATATGTCTAAAAATATATCATAAAGTTAAAAGTCAAAGTTACCACTCATGATAAAAGATTAATTTCCTTACCACAAATAGTTCTTATTAATGCAATAAAAACAAGACATTAAAAAAATGGGTGAAATGATATCGGGGGTGGGGGGACAGTGGATGGGGGAGGGGGGTTGTCACTTTGTGAGGGGTGAAAAGGGTAACTATTGCATTGTTTTGTACACCTGAAACTAATAAAATTTAAAAAAAATGGGTGAAGAACATAAATAAGTGGGTCAAAATACAAATTAACAACTAAAATATGAAAAAGTGTGCAATTTCATGCATAAAGACAAGTAAATTAAAACACCTATTAACTTAGCAAATTGAAAATTTTGATAATACACAGCCTTGGCAAGTGTATGGAGAACAAGGTGCTCTCATAAAATAAATTGTTAGTGAAAGTGTAACCTGGAAATACAGTCTTTTGAGAGTGCAATTTGGAAACACTGTTTAATGTGAATAATACACAAACTCTTTGACCTAGCAATTCCACTTTTAGCAAGTGATCCTACAGATTACATTTGCACAATTGTGCAAATATATATATATCTATATCCTAGAATATTTGCTTCATACAGATTTTATTAGCAAAAAGCTGGAAACAAACAATACAACACTAGTCAGCCATTAAAATGAATGAGATGAAGCTGTGTATACTAATATGCAAAGATGCTCAAGACATTTGGTGGTGGGGGAAAGAGTGCAGAACACTGTGTGTGTGTATATGTGTGTCTATGGCCGTATATGCACAGAAATATTAGGAAAGCACGTAAAACACTTTAATTGTGTTTATCTTTCTCAGGTGTACAACTGGGAAGGGGCAGGATAAAGAGAAAGCTTTCTTTCTACTTTTCAGTACTGCTATATTTTTTTACAGTGCAAATCTGTTACTTCATAGTAAACACTAATGTGCTGCACCTTGCTAATTACCTCTTAAACTGAAGCCTCTCTGAAAGCATTTTGAGAAACAAGCATGATAACGCCTCTAGCCTCTAGGCCAATGCAGATGCATAGCCCTAGGCCCTCAATCCCAGTCTCCGTGCTCTGCTGCTTTACCTTTGGTAGGATACTTAGGTAAGTGGATTCGTTGGCAGCTTTCAGAAAGGCAGAGGAGGGCAGTGGGGGAGTCCTGGTGAGGTCCCTGAGCAGCTCCTCATTCCTGACGCTCCTGGGGGAAAGGAAGCTGGCACTGCTCTGACTGAGGCTCCCGAAGACTGCCAAGTCTGCATCGTGGACGGAGCCTTTCGGGTGGCACCTGTATCTGGCATCAGGGCTCACCAGGGCTTCTTCAAACACAGACTCCTCATCAGAGAGCTGCAGCTTCTCAAGCTCCTTATTGATTTTCTGCACATCTGCCACGGTGGTGCCAGGGGACAAGCGGCTGTCGGACTTTGTGTATTCAGCACACAGGGTGAGGATGGTCTCCAGACGCTGTCTCTCCTAGAACAGAGGGGAGGGGAAGGTCAGTGGGTTGATGAGAATGGAGACAACTCCAAATAAAAAGACTAGCGAGGCTGGGACCACCGGTGAGTTCATCCCACACAGAAACCCACCGGCACTTGGCTGATGACGATTCTCCATCATCTTTGGTGGATGCATTTAAGAATCCACATGACACCCGGGTTAATCTCTGTTCTGGCTGTTCCCTTTATTTGTATATCCCAGTGCTGATCCTAGCATGTGGCAGCACCTAGTAAGCCTTTTTCTTGATTTAGCAAGTCTCCAAACACTTCAAAGGTTTTTCTTAACCTCTGTTTTTTAAAATCTTCACTCCCCTTCCCTCTGCCTATCTTCCTTCAACAATATCTGGATCTTTCATCACTACAGACTTAATATTTGCACGTAAAATTAACGCTCTAACTTCTTATAGAAATATTATCCTACTGTTAGACACACACACACAAACAATGCTACTTAAAGAATCTTTTAATTTAAAAGGCATAACTGGGCCTTTAATGCTTTCCTCGAAATGCTTCACAATTTTCAAAACGCTTTTTTAAGTCTCATCGCCATGTAAAGGTATTTTCCACCAATGTCTCACATGAGTCATTAAAATGATTTAAAAAAGTGGGAATGTTACATGAAAATGAATATTTCATGTCATGTTCAGATGGAAAGGCATCAATGTATTTCAAATTCTGAGGTAATTAAATCTTTGATTCCTTTAGCTGGAGAATAAGATCAATATATAGGCGATTGCTGTCTCTAACGGGTCCACTAATTGACACTTCACCAAGCTCCCCATGCAAAATATATATGATTCTTCACTTTAAATAAATGTAATATTATATTTGTGAACAACGGTATATAACTTACGAAATGCTTATCATAAGTCTAGACAGCACTGTTTGGGTTGGGAAATCTCAACATCTTCACTTCTCACCTTAATTCCAATACCAAAGTGAAAAGAAAAAAAATTAAATAACAAAAAACATCCGTTGTGATTACAGCTACCACACTGAAAAGACAATTCAAAATCCTTCCAGAAAAAAAACATTTTCCAAACTAGTTATCAGTAACAAAATAGAAAAAATTTAAACAGCACCGGGCTACTGTTTTCAATTTCTAATGGCAGCAAAAGACAAAACTCTGAAGGCAGTTTCCTTTTTATTTGTCAAAGAAGTGTCAAATAGAAAAATCAAATAGGAACAAACCAACATAATTCTCTGGTTTTCATTAAATACATTCATTAAATGAGATAGAAGTCATTTATGTTATATTTTTTTATTTCTCTTCTAAAATAATCCCTCCCCCCAAAAAAAGCAATAGCTTGATTGAAAGACCAAAAGAACTATTAAACGGGTTCCTATAAGCCCCCACCTCCCTTTCACTGCCTGAACTGGAATCCCGCTGCAGCTCCGTCCTCATGGCCTCTTCCCACAGCAGGCATGCATAGCCACACAACCTCATCTTAGGCGCTTCTGCACCCTGCACATCCACGAGCCCTGGTGTTTATTTATCTCCGCAGCTGCCACCAGCTGCCAAGCCCTACCCACCTCAGCTTTATGGGGGGTGGGGGTGGGGATGGGGGACTCAGTCTTCATTGCTTTACTTTATTTAAAACTTCTTCAATAATCCGGAAAAGTCTTCATGGGAATATGCAAAAACAACCTGCAATATGTGAGAAGTGGGACAGGAGCGAGGTATTATGTTTTACCCCTTTTCAACAGCATCTGTTTTAGAGGCTAATTAATCTCCAAAGAAAAGTGCTTTTCCTCCCCTCAGGGGAATTAAATGGAAGTATCTAAACTCGGTCTTTACTAATCTTTTTAGATCATAGTGTATACACATTAGCCTGGACATGATTTATATTTGGGATTATCTGAAAGTTGTCAATTTCCAGGTAGCAGGGCTCTAAGGAAGAATGTGGTGTTCAAAAGCATGAAAGGTACTTCTGCCTAGCCGGTAATACAGAGCAAAATTCTTCCCACATCTCCTTCCCAAAATAGTTTCTTCTGCTGCCAGTGGTATTGCTTAATTCCAGAGGGAATAAATGATCCCTCCCTTAAGATGAATGCTATTTCAGAGAGTGAAATGCAGCATTCAAAGACTTGTGCACAGGAAGTTTGGTCTACTGGTATGTGCTTCTCTCTATTCTTATCACCCCATTCACAGCCAATCTGTCCAGACTTGAGTCTCTCTCTCTCTCTCTCTCTCTCACACACACACACACACACACACACACACACACAGCACTGCTGCCCATTACTCTAATAGAAATATAGGCCACACACTCGCCCTGTAAAAACAGCAGCAATGAAAAATAAATTGATGACAAGTGCGTCAGAAGAAAGTCTGCAAGGCATTTCAGAAAGCTCTACAAGAAGCCTTTTAAGGAAAACTCTGAACAGAATTCACCTTCAGAAAATAATTCTCCCTTGAGCCCTCTTCACTCCAGAGTCTTGCTCCTCCCATTCATCATGCCAATATTCTCTACTCTGTGACTCTGTGACCAGGGCAACCCTCCAGAACAGGACACTTTGAGAATCAAATAGGGCACTATTAATAATCATGCTGCAGCATCAAGCGCAAACTGGGATCAGCAAACTACCTGAAACTCAATTTTCTTTGGGGCTTCACCTGGCTATCTGCTGAGTTGGGAGGCTACCCTCTTTGAGATCTCCAATTCCTAGACCTTTCCAAACCAGCATTCCACTGGGCCGTCTCCTAAAAAGCCACCAGTACAGGACCTAAACAACCACATGGTCCAACACATTGCTACTAAGGGTTTAAAGAGTAGGTCACTTAGAATAAAATTACAGTAAAACCTTGGATTGCGAGTAACTTGGTTTGCGAGTGTTCCGCAAGATGAGCAAACATTTCGAATACATTTTAATGTGGTAAATGAGTGCTGTCTTGCAATATGAGTAGTTTGTTTCCGGAACAAATTATGCTAGCAAACCAAGGTATTACTGTATTTCAAATACATTTTAGGGTTTTTTCTCCCTTTCCATTTTCCCTTTCTTCCATCTCTATATACCACATATATCAAAGAAACTTTTGAAGGGGACACAAGATCTTAAGAAATAAACCTGAAGAAAATGGTGTGCAATTCTTTCCCTCAGAGTTTTGTTTTTTTTTTAAGTTGTGGGCTGAGTGTATGTATTTTTTTAACCTCAGAGCTTTCTTTCTTTTTCAGAGGAATGTGTCTGGTATTGCCCCACTGCAGTTCACAGCCCTAAATCAGGGACCTCATCCATCTTCTAAAACCATCATAATTCCTGTCATCGACTGCAGCCAGTCTAGGCCATAAGATTGTAAAGACAATGCAGAAATCAATTATGCAGAAAACCACTTCCTGATACTTAAGCATAGGTGAAATCTTTTTAAAAATCCTTCTGTTACAATTAAACATATTGGGTCATTTATTACAGAAAACAGAGGGTTAATCTTTAATGGTTAGAAATAATTTAGTTGAAAGGACTTTTTTTTTTTTCTAAAGGGGATCTGTTGTAACTGATAAGTATGACTTCATTTACTATTAACTCTAGAGATTCAATATCTCGATAATCTTCAGTTCAACAAAGATCTTTTAAGTTACTCACTGCCCAGTAATGTGTGAGGGATACAAAGATGAGAAAAAGACAGCATTTCTACCCTCAGAACTTCAACAGGAGGCACAAATAGGTAATCAATTAAAGAAAATAGAGATCCAAGATGGCAGAGTAGAAAAATGCTGTGCCTGCCTCCTTCCAATAACACACTAAAATTACAATTAAAGTATAGAATAATCAACTTGAAGAACCATCTGAAGCCTAAATGAGCATAAGTTTTATAGCTAAGGCTATAAAGAAGAAGCCACGTCGAGACTGCTGGAGGGGCAGAAATGTGAAACAGCCGGCCCCAAGCCTCTATGTGGTGGTTGAGAACTGGAAGGGCTATCTCGGCCACAGAGGTTCCTCTGGAGGAGCGAGGGACCCCAGCCCCACACTGGCTTCCCCAGCCTGGGGTACTGGTGCCAGGAAAAACAACAGGATGCTGTTTTTCACACAACATCTGGGTGTGAAAAACAGTGGGGATTCCAACCATCTGGGTGGACCCAGAAGCCTCTTAGAAAGCCCACACACAGACTCACTTGCTCACAGGCACTCACCCTGGGATCTGGCGGAGGGACAGTGACTCGGAGGCATCAGAGACATATGGGGAGAGACTGAGGTGTTTGGCTTTGGGGAGAGGACTGGAGGACAGTCACCATTTCCCCTGTGTGGAGTTTTCTTATCCTACAGCTGTCAGGCAGGTGCCATCTTTCCCATTTGAGCCCTCCCCCGACACCCATAGAGAAATCTGAATCTGATTGGCCTGGCGAGCTCGCCGATCCACCCTGCTGACTAACTGGGAACCTGCCCTACCCAAAACCCCCCAACATCGGAGGCACTTTCTTAATGAGCAGCCAGCCCTGCCCACACTGTACTCTTTCTTGGAAAACTATTGGGGTCTGCAGGACCCCGGTGGGCGGTGACTGGCCTCGGTGTGCTCTGAGATTTTTGCCGAGTAGCTCCAGGATCAACACTAGCACAAAACCAGAATCTACATTAACTTGGTGACTACAACTTGTCCCACTCTGGTGACTCCCTGAGACTCTGCCTCACCCAACTTGCTTACTGTATGAGGCTTTATCAGAGGCTGAACCTTCAGGGAGCTGGCAGGTGGCAGCAGGTCTTGGGGTATCCGGGCTTTCTGCAGAGATACACCAGGCCGGGTACTGGTGGCAGCCACCCTCGGTTTACAGCATGGTCTCTCCCATGTGCCTCCAGGTTTAGCACAGGTATCAAAAAACCATGGATCATCTTGTAGCTCCTATCAGGTAGTTTCTGGCCAGTCACAGGCAGTGGGTGACTTGGGACTGGACTGGAGCCCCTCGCAAGAAGCCCCAGAACCAACATACTTGGAGGTTGGCTTCAGACCACAGCAGAGCACCACCCAATTAGTCCCACAAGCAG